AACTTCCGCCCCGGTTAACAAGTTCGTTCGATGTTTGCCGCTTCCGCGTCTCGGCCATGCCCGTGGGACCATTGACACAATTCTGAGGCTTTATGTCTCCAGCCTCTTGGTGGTTTGACGCCTGAAAGTTTTTCTCACGTATCGCAGCTCAGAAATCTTGACGCAGCTCACACAACGCCTACACGTCTGACTGAGTGTTCGGTACGGCCACCTACGCAGGCGATACTTCACTGAGTTAGCCGACTTGTTGGCAGGCTTGACGAGCCCTTGCGTTGCGTCGGTAGTGTGCATCCTAGCATTCGGCCGTTTTGTCTCTCCAACAAAATTATTTAGTGCTATCTGTGTTTCCAACATGCTAGCTTGATTACCACTGCCTACGCACATCATCGTTGCGGACACGCTAGTGCAACACCAGCATTCTTTCGCAGGCGCCGATGATCAAAGACTTGAATGTGCCTTAGATTCTCAAATCGAACTGGTCATCTCACTCTTATAGAGGAGGACGGCCCTTCAGACCGAGGAAAACCCCTTTCTGACGGCACAAATTCACAAAGTCAGTTCTAGACTTTACAGTACGTGAGCTGACTTCAGTTGCTGTCTTTGTTGGTGATTCAGCTGCCAAGACAAGTGAATTACTGAACTATCTCGATGTCCACATTATACGGTTGAGGGGTCATACAACAAAACTTTGCAGGTGCGAAGCGCATTACAAATAATGGAAGCAATCTACAGAGGTTATTTGAGGTTGACTGTGCAGTCCCAACACCGTTAAACAGCAAGACACTGTCTTCCGCATAATCAGAGTAAACTAGTTCTCCCCCAGTTAGCATCTCGACGACTGCATCGGGCGATTCCACAAGCGAACACTCCCTGATGGAGCCCACGACGGAGCCGAACTTTACTGGGGAAATTGGGCATCTATGGTCATCGCTATTTGTTGTCGTGAAGCTATCCGACAAGCAACCGTAGACCCTGACACATCCTTTGTTGTTTGAGTACAGGGCAGGTAAAATGCTTCATGGGAACACCTTTCCGCACAAGTATTTCGAACAGAATGCATTGATCGACTGAATCGAACGCATTCTTGAAGTCCAGCAACATAGCTATTTTCGGTCTGCAGTATGTATGACGCTTCTCTACACCTGCGGCGGAGTGAATGTATGGTCTATACAGCCCGTTCTGAGCAGAAACCTGCTTCCACTTATCTTCTCGGAGATTCTCATTCAACAGTGAAGCGACGAACGAGAATTGAGACAAGTACTTTTGTCACAACTGGTGTTAGGCTAATACCCCTGTGGTTAACACGGTCAGTGCGCTTGCCCTTATTGTATATGGCTACTATGATCCATTCACTGCAGTTAGCTGGGATAGTCTCTTCCTTCTTGATTTTTTCGAAAAGGGAGTTCGGTGCTTTGCATGGGATCTTACCACAATCCTTTAATAGTGTGAGTGCGTGGGAATCCGAACCAGCAACACAGGAACGAATAAGGACTGTGATCGCGTTTCGAGTCTCAACTTCCAATAGAGCCTTCCAACTGAGCGGTCATAGTTTAGTCTGCATTACCTGGGTAGGATTGTTTTCGGGAGCCTGGGTCCAACTGAACTGCTCCCGAAAGTGCCCTGCCCAACGAGCTAGCCGGCGCTTTTTCTTCTGAACCAGAGCACTCCCTGTCTCTAAGTGTCTCACTGACGCTTGCTTTCCTGAGTTCAGTGGTGTGGATCAGTTGGAAAAGCTTGGGGCAATTGTCTACTGCTTTTGCATTCTCCATTTCTTGGGCCTTACTGTCCAGCTGGGTCCCTTATCAGCACTATGGCTCCGCTTCACTTCGCGCCTAAGAATCCTTCCGGTTACATTTTAGTCAGAACCAGTATGGAGTTTTCTTCTTTACTTCAACGCATTCATCGACCTTTCGGATATCTAGTTACTGGTTGGATGACGATTGAAAGTGTCACAAGCAGTCGTTCCGGCGTCGTGCATGGCAGCTGAAATCCTATTCCACCGAAGCTCAACGTCCTTAGTGCAAGAGGACGAAAGTTTGCTTCACATGGCATCCTGGTAGGTTTGTCTGACCCAGGACTGAGATAACTTCACAGTTTACAATCGAGGGAGGCGCTTGGTTTTCCTTTCGGTAAAGTTCATTGAAAAACGACAGCGTACCAGAGCATGATCAAATTTGACGCATCTGTTACAGAATGAGCGACGATGTATGTTGAAACTACTCCACCTGTAACTTATGACAACATGATGGATTGGAGCCCATCGCTTACCAAGTGGTGCTTCGCCGCCCACTGTCTAAAAGTGATGGCACTGAGATCAACTGGTGCTCTGCGCACAGTCAGCAGACGCTCACCGTTCTCCATCTGATTGGAGGGAATTTCTGAAGAGATCAAATCACGTACTTGCGCATTCATATCCCCTGCATCAACAATGATATCTGAACTTGTAACACTGCGAAGCAGCGTGTTTAGTACGTGATAGGAGGCGTCCTTGACAGCGTCAGTACTGAAGTCGGGGACATTAGCTGGAAACACAAAGAGACTGCCATCTAGCGCTACTTCTTGAACTAACCTTAGTCGAAGTCCTCAAAGCAGCTGCACACAAACGGCTGTTCATGGGAATCCAACCAACTAACGATGACTCAGCCTTGGAGCTGAGAACGATTCCCAACCCAGTTTGACCAGTGACTTCCGCATCAGCGTCTCCAGACGCGTGTAACCAATAGCGAGGAGCAAGGCAGGTGCAAATACTACAACATCCATGTGAAGGCCATCGAGTCTAGTTTTGGACACACGATATCGGTACTCAAAGTATGCTTACGGGTACAACCTTTTGGTCTTGAGTGCGAATGTTGAACGTCACCACGGAAACGGGACAACTTGGTCTTGTAGGTGGCTGTTAGTGATAGGCGTCCAACGGATGATGTGGGAAAATATCTGCTTTTAACAGAACTCCAGTGGTATGGCAACTGCTTTCATTTAGGCTTGGAAATATAGAAGGATGTTAGTAGTGGGGTTGGGATGAGCTAAAGAAGCAGATGGAAAAAAGTAGAGCGGCGTTAGACGTTGCACGATTTCGCTTATCCGCCCTGTTGTATGCAGCAGATAGTGAGACCCTGGTAATGCTCCACAATAGTCGATGCTAGATGTAGTTGCATTTCGACCGAATTGTCATGCTTGTATATGAGCTGAGATACTGTCAGGAGGCTCAGACCTAGACAGGAGAACGATCACAGTCCTCAACCAAAGTCCTTGGCTCAAATGACTATCCGCAACGCAGCGGTTAGGTGTTTTGCAGAAATTGACACCATTCTGTTTCAGGCCCCAACTTAAAGGACGGAAAGCCTGAGTTTTTCTAGCCCTTAACCTTTGCACAACCTGGTAGGAGTAACTCAAGGTGCTCAGGTTCACTAACTAGTTTCGATCAATAAGTCGCACCATGTCAAACGCTCGTCTCGTTGTGATGGGTTGCGGGGTACTGGGCTCTGACAATTTTCTTCACTTTTGTGTTTTGCTGCTCAATTTTCCGCTTTCCTAGTTGATTAATTGTATATACAGTCCAACCTGCCATGGCGACCAGCCAAAAACATCTCCAAGGTTTTCTGCTATGAGTAACATCCCTATGCATGAACCTGTCTAAGGAGACGACCACCTGTCGAAATCGACCACTTTTTGTCGGTCCCTTGAGTGGTTTGACAGTGCCTTACGATCGTCTTCATGTACTGCGCTGATGTTTTACTCCCCTCGTACTTGTCACGAGAGCTAGGTCCATGATTGATAACTGTTATTGGATAAACTTCTTTGCACCAGCTTCGCTCATTCATCCTTACAGTCGCAGTACTCGCTGCTGTGGGGTTGAACGCGCGACTCATGTGAAACGTCACGGTTGTTTCACGCTACAACAGAGACCTCCGTATTAATTCTATAGTACGCGCCACGGTTTGGATCCACTCAGATGAAATTTCCTTGGTAGTGACATATTATAGCGTTTCGTTGTTTTGAGTGCGTTGCATGATTCAGCAGTGTCTGTAACTCGTGGGTATGATACCCATGCGCTGATGCACGAATGTTTTTCTAACGAACTGCCACAGTGTCTATCATATCAATCATCTTTAATCGGTGTTAGCATGTGCAGCGTCGTTGTTCCAGCTGCTACCGAGAGTTCTGAAGACAATTTTAGGACACTTCAACTACGCGTCAACCTACACTTTCACGTGTCATCGCCAGAAAGTTAGTGTTTGAAGATGGAGGGGTCATGCTTCTAATGTGCGATGGTCGTTTGGACAGGCGCTTATTCTGCGATTGATGCATAACCGTACCTTCTCGCTACCTTATAGGTCATCTGTTTCGCTGACACAAGCTTTGTACCATTTTCAGCTTTGAGTATTCACAGCAAAGCACACAATTCAGGTCACATTGCAACACGTTTCTCACTTCGTAACTAACGAACGTGTATCTTTCACACTCGTACTCGATGAGGATTCGGCACCACCATAGATGCGAATGATCCATCTGTTTCTCCTACTGTATTACGCTGAATGCGTTACGAGCGACCCTGCGGATTCACTAGATTACAATACAGCTCACAGTGTATGTGTGTGGCCTGATTTCAGCCAAATCGCTTACGTTGAATGCCTACATATGTCATGAGAAACCCCTTGGAATCAAATGGATGTGAATGCCGGTTCATCTGTTTCTACTTGTGCTATCTACTTTTCGTACTTTTTGTGGCCAAATGTTGCCATGCTCTTGATCTGATGGGCATCCATTAGCTCATGTCGGTACTACAACTTAAAGCATACGGTTTAATCTCGATGTACACCTTCCCTACATGTATTTGCGGGGCTCTTTTTTGCACTCATTCGACATGTTGCTCCGTTGTTTGGGTCTCATTGTATCTCCACCTTGATTCACCCCTGTTTCTCGAATTCCTGTGGCAAATGCGCGTGTCCGGTCTGTTTGCCTCTCATATTACCGCCTATTTTTATCGTGTGGATTTTCAGAGAGGCCTTTCCGGACTGCGAAATAGATGATATTCAAGTCTGCTTTGACATACGTCGCTTGGTGAACCTGGAAAGTCGTTGGTGAGTCATTTGATCTGATCTCGAGCTGCAATGCGTATGTCATGCATGATACTGCCGTGCTAATTTTCTTACCCCACCGCCCTTGCCTTCTTTCTCCACTTCATCATCTGTTTTACTTATTATGATTCACGATTGATACGATATCTACAATGCCAAAGATTGTTCGTGTCAGCTAATATGTGTTTCAGTAACCGGACGAAACCCGGCGGTAACCCCTCCTCATTACAGTAAGTATTATTAGGCATTTCGACATTGCAAATTACTTGAAGTAGACGTAAACATCACTCGAATGTCAAACACGTTTAAATGTCTTTTTGCAACACTAAACGACGCCTGCCATGTTCACCCGGCTTCGCTGTCTCTGTACCACTTCTCGATTTGCCTCCTCGTAAATTTCCACGGTGGCTTATTCTGAATGGTTTAGGCTGTGAGCCAAGGTGGTGTGCGATGTTTTAGCTTAGCGGTTAACCGTTTGTTTCTTGAAACTCAGTTTCAAGTCCTCTTTGCTCAGCGCAAGAAATTCGACCTGACGATACAGATGAGTCTAACTTGTTTACAAGTTGGCGGGCGGTTGACAAAGGGCTGAGACGTCTACCTTGTAGCTCAGAGGTCGCCTGTTCGACCATGAACGGATGCAGGCGACCTCACAGTATCGCTAGCCTGCGCACGATTGGCTGTGATCACGTTTTTCTTCCTGGTTTGCAAACGGCTGCTTGCCGCTCAGTAAGTGGAAATGTTCATTCACAACCCGGCATTCACATGTTGCTGCGCGGGCCACAAAATAGGCATCAGCAGTACGCCGATACGCAGTACCGACGCTTCGCTAACGCGCAACCACCACCGGGCGCACGTGGTCTAAGGATGCCGCGAGGGTCGCCCGGTCCCTACGCAGGGTCGAATCCGCGCCCTTCGATTACGAGGCAGTTTTGTGATCCGTAAGCCTACGGACCGGCACGCGGACCGCAAACCAAACTGTGGTTGCTATGAAGGACTCAGGGTGTGGTTCGTGAACAAACCTGAAAATGAGTGAGCAAGCATGAACGACTTGAAAACGTAGAGGGGCTAGTGGAATCTCACCTACTTCTCCATTCATCATATGCTTTACACTTTTACTCCCACGTTTGGCACCATTTTTTCACCCAGCCATGTGTGTTGCCGAGTACCACTTAGACCGGTTACCTGAACAATAAAAGCACCCTAACCTACTGTAGCTCGCTGTCATATTAGCTCATCCGTGCCTCCACCGGAATCGTCTTACTCGTCAAGGTAATGCGTATCCCTGACGCAGATTCGTTGTTCACTGCTTTCCAGCTGAGCGAGGTCATTGACCACATTTGGTAATTAGTGCAAAACTTTAGATACTGGTTACGAGCACTTGCTTAATCACCGAGAAAATCGCTTAATTGTCCACGGAAATAGTCGGTTTTTTTCTCATGAGCATACGGCATCATCAGTTCGCGATGAGTTGCGGCAAACCTCCACTGGACTTTGTACTCTTGTTCTTATGATTTGCTGAGGTACTTACTAAGCAATATTCCAAACACCATACTAAAATTTTTAGTTGGATCCTACTTTAGGCCTTTTTTCACGGGAACAACCGTTTTCGAATTTCCCTTCAAGTATAACAGCACAACCACTCTTTAACCACACTCGTTAGTCGATGAGACCAAATTTGGGCACAGAAAAGCAACACGGTCTAACCACACTGCTTCCTTTTCACCGTATCTTCGCTCATGCGATGCAGGCAGTCGCTTGAGAAGGCGTTATTGTGTTAATTTCTGAATTAGTCTTAATCGTAATGGATTAGGCATCAACAAAATCTCTCATCGTGAAGTTAACTTGTCGGTCACAGAATTCATAACCTCGTGTAAAGTCATCGGTGACACACAGAGTACAATGGCAACACATTGTATCGAAATTTGACTTGAAGCACACTAGATTATTCGTCCGGTGGAATCTCCACGTAACCATCCTTATAATCTAGCTTTGAAAAACATTTGGATCCACACAATTGTTAGAAAATATCCTTTAACTCACCACTGGTATAATATCATTTTAACCAACACTCAATTCGCAGAAAACTTACCACGTAGCGCAAATGGAACTCTTCCGGTCGGCAGCGCAACTGGTCGTACCGATGAGTTTAGTGACAAATGAGCGGCATTTTTAAGCCTCCCCAATCCTGGGCCAAACACAGACGGATACTGATATACAACACCGAATTCCTCCTAACTAGCATGCACTAAACGATCATTATTAGAACTAACAGACCAAGAGACTGAATTGATTCAATGCCGAGAATCAGCGTGAGCTTCTCTCACACAACAACAAACTCAAGTCGATATGAAACTCTATCCTTTATCTTCACTATTCAATGGTAGCCGAACCTTTCGGATGTAGTATGGAGCCATTCCGCATGCACAAACAATCTTTGTCGTGTGGGATATACACATTGGGATACGGCTCTCTCGGTAGAACGTGGCTAATGGCACCCTCGTCTAACTGGAATCTTACTGCTCTGCTTTCGACTAAAAGACCCGTAAACACACTTTTGATCACTTCCTCAGCATTTTGCAAATTCATTCTTCGGAACCTCAGGGTGACTTGTTGTTGTGTCCCCAGGCGTTCGACTTTTTAGATTGCGCTCCACGAGTCAACAAGACAACGCACCGGACAGGAGGTATATTTGCGGGGCACTACACGGGCCGGCGTGGGTATGAAAACACTAAGTCCAGTTCCAATCACGGCTGAGTGCTAAAATTGAATTTATCGATTTCAAAGAACCACGGGACGTGTGAGGGGTATGTAACAAGCGGTAGTAACAAATGTTCTGCAACACAGAAAAAACTCTAGTCTACAGTTATGAACGGTTACACAATTATACCTGTGTTTTTCTTTCTTCTCCAACACTTGTTACGGGCACATATGCTCACCTTAGTCGTGTGACGACGAAAGAGCAGTGTTTCCTTTTTCCACTTTTAGCTCACTTTCTTTCCCTTGCCGGACACTGATCGCGGATCCTAGGATGTCGTGCGACACAAAATTTGCAAACCTCTTCTCTCACAGTGGTGGCTTTCGTGGTTCTGCTCTCCGAAATCCCACGCATTGCAACATCGGTTGCTAGTCACATTTACTGGTAATGGTATGTTGTCGAGGGTTCGCTGTTTAGAATTTGAATGCACTGTTTGTGCGCTAAGTCACATTGTCGCACGAACTGCTTGGTCGCACTGTTATCATTGGTCCCTAGGATAATTCGGTTCTTTATGAGACTATCGACCATGCATTTACAGAACTTGCAACACTGTGTCAACTTTTCTAAGCTTGTAGGGACGCTGACTAGGTGCGGAGTCCGAAAATAGCCATGTCCCGTCGTCCTTACTGGATGTTGGAAAGAAAATCTTCTTGGTATCCCAATGATATATTTTGGGAGGCTCCCGAAAATGCACTACGACAGTTAGGCAGAAAGATTGCGCAGGGAAAACACAAGTGGTAGTTGGCTAGATGGTATAAGCCAGAGTTCAAAGTAAGTTGTCCATAGCTTGTATGCACATCAATAGCTTTTGAATGCTGTGGTTGGAAAGTTACATGATTGTGGCTAGTATCTTCCCTGTGCAAAGAGAAATAAGCTAAAAATAGCGGAATAAGTTAAAGCTCCTACATACCTCCCCACCAGTGCGGTAGCCGCACGGTGATAAGCGACCAGGAGTAAAAAACCCAGTGGAAATTGCCGGGAAAACTGACCTCTACCTGATACGGTGTCGCTTAAAATGCCCGAGGCTGAGGCACAGGAGGCATGCAGGTAAAGTTGTTAGCGAAGATACAATGAAAATGTGGGAGCACAATGTAGTAGTGCAACAAGGATGTTTAAGTTGCAGGTGTTGTCTGGCGCAATCCTCCTGTCCTTTGTTGACATGAGAATGTTCTTATTCGTGCTAAGGTTGTTCTTTCCTCTCCTGGCAAACACTGGAAAACAACAAGCAGAAAAGAAAACTGGCAGCAGGTAGTGTAACACGATAGACAGCACAGCAAGTTGTTATTTTCAAGATGTCTAATACGCTAGACGGTCTGGAAAATGAACTTTTCTACCTGACCGTGTTTGCCGCGTACTAGCTTTAGATGTTGATGGTTGAGGATCATTTTCACAGTGTTTGATGACTCCTGCGTACATATAGTGTTTTTAGAATCTGTCGATTGTTGTTCACAAGGTTGTTCTATATACGCTGGCTTGAGTCGGTCTACCGAAACTACATCGACTTTACCATTCCTGTTGATCAGATGATGTTTTGTTGTTCTAGCGATCACCTCAAATGGCCCTTCGTATGGTGGCTATAGAGGCCTGCGGACTGCATCGTTTCGTAGCCACACATGTGAACAAGTTGTCAGATCTTTTGGTATGTAACACTTGTTAGTTTGTGCGCGTGTAGCAGTAAAATGCAGTTCACGCATGGATGAACGTAAGCGATGAACAAAGTTTGAGGGATCTAGAGCGTTGACTTCGATTGGTTGAACGAGGTCAGCCGGGAGCTTTAGTTTGGTACGGTATACCAGCTCCGCGGCAGAGCAACCTAAATCAGCTTTAAACATCGTTCGTAGACCTAATAGAACCAGCGGTAAGTGTTCCGTCCAACGGGTAGTGTCAGAACATGCCATCAAAGATGTTTTGAGGTGGCGGTGAAAACCTTCGACTAACCCGTTCGCTGTTGGATGGTACGCAGTTGTTCTTATTCGTTTAGCTCCGAGGATAGTAGTGAGGTCTCGAAAGAGGGTTGATTCAAATTGCGCACCGCGATCCGTTGTTATGGTGGATGGGACACCATAATGTGCGATCCAATGAGCCACAAAGTTACGTGCTACTGTCTCTGCGGAAATGTCCGCGATGGGTACTGCCACGGGCCAACGAGTGTAACGATCGATACAAGTAAGTAGGTACTTAAATCCACTCGACGGCGGCAGCGGACCGACGGTGTCGATGTGCACGTGACTAAAACGAGCATCGGGAACGGT